ACTTTTTTCTCTGTGACCAGGGACAGGACCCAGGGAACATTGAATTGTGCCAGAGGAGGATTAGTTTGGATATCAGGAAAGGTTCTTCCCCCAGAAAGTGTTGGGCACTGCCCAGGCTCCCCAGGGAATGGACACGGCCCCAAGGCTGCCAGAGCTCCAGGAGTGTTTGGACAATGCTCCCAGGGGTGCACAGGGTGGGATTGCTGGGGTGTCTGTGCAGGAACAGGGGTTGGACTGGATGATCCTGCGGGTCCCTTCCAGCTCAGGATATTCCGTGATCCCATGGTATTTACCTTTGAGCCTTCAGCACAGTACAGGCTGGTAAAATCCTGTGGACACACCCTGTCATCAGGGGTTGCTGTTGAATGCAAATAGGTGGCATTTTTGCTGGCACCAAAAAGCCTTTCTGGGAATCAACAGTGTGGGCAGTTTGGTCCCCTCCACCTGGTTCTGCCCTGATGTCACATCTGTGCTCCCACTCAGAGGCAATTTAACAGCCCACCCTCTCCAGTGGTCTTGTGTCAGGGAAACATGCAAAGGCGACCCCCTGACAGAGGGTTCTCATCTCACCGACAAGGTCATAGGGATCTTCAAAGTCCAACTCCTGGCCCTGTACAGGGCAACACAACCATTCTTTGGCAGGTCCAAACTACTCTCCTGAGCAGCTGTGTGCTACACTGACACTTCCTTTTCTCCCTGAGAATCACTCTCTCCACCCTAAAACACTCAGGTGTGGGGCAGTCCTAATTTTCAGCGGTGTTAGAACAGAGGGAGTGATCCTCTTAGAAGTGTGAGCTGTGGAGTGGGCACTGGGACACAGTGTGGTCTGCTCCTCTTCAGTCTCTCTCCAAGCATTTATTGCTTCCAAAGAGTTCTGTTTGCACAACTCTCTGTAGACCTCAGCTTTGCTCTAAAGATGTGAATTGCCGGCCTCTTGTTTGAGTTGTGATCCTCTGTATATTCTTCAGAGATTGTAGCTATGGACTGATCTTGGAAGCAGAATCAATCTTTTTTTGCAAGCAGAAGAGTATTTTTACATGACAAAGCTTTTGTTTTAGGATCTCAGAGCTTTGCTCACTGAGGTCTAAAGAGTAATTCCTATTTTTTTTTTTTTTTAAACATTGGCAATTCACCTCATGAATTTTCCTCTGGTGGATTCTCTGTTGTCCCTGATAAGATGAAAGAGTGACTTTGATGGTCCCTAATCTGAAAGAATAATTGTTTCTTAGATTTTTGGTTTGCTTAGTTCTTTTTTTTCCCCCTCTCCTATAAATATTTAGCTTGAATCATTGTGATTATATAACAGACAAATCTGGCCCACTGCAAACTAAAGTGTGCTGTGTTTGCAAACCAAAAGACTTCTGAAACAAAGCTGGAAAATGGTGGAATGTCTGTGAAGTGGAGCTGCACCCATTTCATTAAATTCAGTAATTCATTTCAGCCCCTGTCTGAGTTTATCTAAGTGACAGAAAAGGGCTTTATTACTGTTGACTTCAGTTAAGAGAATGCACAATCAGATTCTTTAAATGACTTGGATGTGTTTGGACAGATGATATGTCAAAAAGTCTATTATCTGTATTGACTACAACACTACAGAATGTTATAAAATTAATTATATTCTTCATAGCTTAACAATGATTGCCTCATTTAGAAATATAATTACCTATCACTGAGGTTTTCAGCCAGAAGGATTTTTTTAAATAGTGTATAATAGTTTGGTTTGTCAGACTTCATTTAAATCCTTTGCTGCTTTCTTCTCCTCCTCCTTGTAAAAGTGTGATATTTTAGTTGACTTTTTTTTTTTTTTGATGCCAAAGTTTTATTCCAGGTATTTAGTGTTGTTATTCACAAAGGACAGACTGACACTAAAGGAGCAGCCTGGCCAATAAAACAAGGAACCATCAAGTGACAGCATGTTATGGGATGCTCTGGGATATAACGGGATGGCCTGAGTAGTGTCCTCCTCCTTAAGATTTAAAAGAAGGGAAAATAATTATTCAGGAACAAAAAGTATTATCCATCTCTTGAAAGGGTCATTCAAAGAGACAGAAGTAAGAAAATGAAAACCTGATGATTTTTCCCATGATTTTCCAAGAAAACTCTTTCCAGGATTTCTGTTCTGATTTAAAATTTCTTTTCAGAAGCACAACCATTGTCCCCACAGACACATCAAAACCAAACCCACCTGATAGAAACCATAATTTCTATATGCACTTGAAAAGCACAGAAAAGAGAAAATAAGTGCTAAACATTGTCAAAGTTTATGTCAAGTTATGCAAATGATGGCTCCCCTGCCATCCTGTTCCCAGGTCCATCTCTCTCCAGCCAATGAGGCAAGAAGGAGTTGAGAAATACTGAAAAAGGCAGATAATGCACTTTGTTCCTATTATTTTTCCTGCAGACACAATTTTTCCCCCTCGATTGTATCAGAGCTCATCATTCTCCAGAGCTATTAATCTGGCATCTGTATCGACAGCGTGGGATTGTAAAAGATGTTATTTATTTCCTCCTGCCTTCCAGCTCCAATAGGGAAGAAATACTGAGCTGCCCCCAGCCTCAGGAACCAGGTAATAAGAGGAAAATGATGGAGTATGATAATTTACACACAAAGAGATCAGATCCTGGCACTCAATACATTGGTTTTGCTTAAAAACTGCAGCAGTTTTGATGGGTTTTTCAGGTTTAGCTTAAAATTAGAATTTAGATATTTGGATTGAAGCTGATTTAGCAGATAAGATGATGTTTTGTTTCAAAATCTCTCTTTAATAAAATATACCACTAAAATTGGGTGGATCAGTAAAATAAATGTAAGAACAACTCTTCTGTGGCTTTTCATTCCCTGTCTCTGGTGTGGGTGATTATGGAAAATACATCTGTAAAACAAACACAGGATGCTTCTTATTGTAGGCACAGTGTGTCAAAACAAGCAGCACCAATCTTTGGCTTGGATTTGGGCTTTTTAGCATAACCCCTTAAATCCAGCATAAAATCCAGCCCTGCATATAGATGTAATACTATATATTGATGTCACAACCACATGAACTTACACTGAATGCTTTCCTACGTGAGCTAGACACCTCTAGAGCCCTTTACCTGAGCATTTGGGAAATTGTATTTCGTTTTTATAAACTGAGCCCCTCAGTTTGCTAAATGATCAGCAATATTCAGAAAATAAGCACTCATTAATTATATCCACATAGAAAAATGCAGAGTAATTTAGAAATGTGTTAATGCTTAATATTTTACAGATATTTTACATCTATTTTTGCTGTGAGGGTGGTCAGGCTCTTGCACAGGCTGCCTGGAGAAGCTGTGGCTGATCCTAAAACTGTTCCAGATTAGACTGGAGTAAACTGGCCTAGTGAAAGGTGTCCTTGCCCATGGCAGGGGTTGGAATGGGATGAACTTTAAGGTCCCTTTCCATCCCAAACCATTCCAGGATTCCATTATTCTATTTGATTGTTTGTTCTGGCATTGTTTTTTGGGTTTGTTTTTTTTGTTTGTTTGCTTTTGTGGGGACAGCCTCTGTTCTAGAGGTTGTTATTTCATTAGAGCTGAGCTTCATTCTAACAGGCCTCCATCAGGAGAGAGCTGGCAGCTGAGTAAGGGATTGATGGTCCAGGTATTGATGCTGGATGGACTAAAAGCTCTGCTCAGATCGGAGGGAAGTGTGACTGGGATGGGACTCCAGAGGACAAGGGCTGAATTTGCCTCACTGACAATCCCCAGCCCTGACCAGGGCACTGGTAACCTGAGTGACCCTTGGGATTTGGCAGCAGCCATCCAGGAAGGAGATTTCCTTGGCACCAAAGTCTGCTGGCTGCAGCACAGCCAAGAGGGAGGAAATGAGCTGTGTTGGGAACTTTGCCTTTGGCAATGTCAGTCCTGGCAGGATCAAAGATCACCTCAATGAGAATTTGGGAAATCCCTCTGATCCCCACAGGAAGAGTTTGGCTTTTCTTGGCTTTTTGGTAGCCTTCTGTACAGTTCCTACAAAACCTCCAACGCCAGGCTCTCCCCAGTGATTTTGGCTCTCCAGGATTGTCCCTACACAGAGCCAAGGAATGCTGGAATTGCTGAGAGGTGTGTTCCAGAAGGATTGTGACACACCTGCAAAAGAAGCACAAGGAAGGATTCATTCTGCCTACTAAGGTATTACAAATACCTGAACAGGCATAAACACATTTAATCCTCATCATTTTGCTTGCAAAGCACAGGGAACCTTGGGCCACAGCATTTCTCCCTTACAAGAAACAGAGTATTTCCAGGAACACCATCCAGGGTATGGTACAGGACATTTCCTCTGAGCACTGCTCAGTTGACTGGACCACATTCTAATAGACTGAAATCTTCATTTTAAGATTTTATGGTTTTATGCTCTCTCAAAGTAACAAAACAGAGCAAACATCTTCTGAAGATCTCCACACAATGAAAGGGGAAAAGTAATTTAATCTTGGATCAATATTTGCAAGTGGTAAGTGGAAATTGCCACTCAGTAAGGATTTTGGATCACACAATTCCATTTCATTCTACTTTTGTGTGGTGAAAATCTGGGATAATGTTCCCGATGTTGGATTGTAGAGAGAGAAAAGAGGTGCTTGCACTATTTATTTTCTGCTCTATATTAATATAGAACCTTTGTACATTATATACCATATATTATACGTGATATATCATCTACACCAATAAAATATATGGTAAATTTTGAATATATTGAGGTTCAAGACCATGAATTCAGCTGTGCAATTGAGCAGGTCACAAGCTCAGCTAGTGCCACACTTGTTTTGCCATTTAGTGAATATGAATTTTATTCTGATATGTAAATCTATACACACATATTTAAGCATTGTACAAAATGCATAAAACAACATCTATTAAATAAGTAGAAATTTAAAAGAGTTGTGGGCTTGACGTTGGGGTTTTTTTGTGTGAGGTTTTTTGTTGTTGTTGTTGCTTTGGATTGGGGTTTTTGGCTTTTTTTTTTTTTATCTTCTTATAGCTACAAAAATTTGGTAAATAAAAAGCAGACTAATGGCTGGTTTAACTCACTTCACCTCTGACATTCTTTGTCCCTTGGTCAGTGGTTTGTACAAGATTCAGTGAGAGCAGGAAAAAATTCCAAGGGTGAAAGTGTTGGAAACTCACCTTGCAACAGCCACAACATGTGGAGGTGTCAGAGCTGTGCCAGCAGTGGAGGAATTTGCTTAATGAAAATTTTCCCCAGGCATCCCCTAATGTCACTTGTGGTTCCCAGTGCAGATTACCCATCAGTTAGCACAAATTTGCTTTTTAATTGGCCTGTATTGCACCTGCCACATCCCAGCTCCCCAGCCTCCAAGGCACTGGCAAAAGAAGGAAGGTGGATATCTGGAGGGATTTAATTTAATGCATTCCAGAAAAGGCCTGCACAGCAACAATTAATGTTTAAAAGACAAGAATAATTTGCACCAGCACGAAGTGATGAGGAAAAGGGAAGGGGAGCTAGGGAGTAACTAATGAACAAGATTAATTAGCCACAGCAGAAAGATCTAAAGCTCCAGTGACTTCAGGGGGAAGCTTTAATTCTGTTGACTTTTGTGGGTCCTGGGAACAACCCAAGAAGTCCAGGAGTAGAAGATTCATTGGCAAGGTTTTGTTTATCCAGGCTTTTTGTAAATCATGCCAAAATTAGTGTGCTTTTGGAGGTAAGCTGTGAGCAGCCAGGCAAAGTGGATGCGGGAGGCTGGCAAGACCCAGGAATGTGTGTGCAGTTCTTCCCAGGTACAGAATACTCCAGGTCCCATTTTCCCATTTCCTAAGAGTATGAAAATTGATCTTCAGTTCTGAAAGCTGGTTACAGACTTCTCACTTTTGTTCAGATGTCCCAAACATTTGTTTTTCTCCCTTTTTTCCAGAATGGCTGGGCTCTTCTTGCTCAGATTGCTGTGGAAGTCTTAGGGAATAGGTGTTTTCATATAGAGAATTATGTGTAAGTTCCTTGCAGTGAATTCCTGGTGAATTCCACTCCCAAACCTTGCAGCTTCCTGGCAGCATTGCCAGCAGAAGGAGCAATATGACTTCACAGCTCCCAGATTTTGTGATTCCAGAGAAATATTATTCTGCAGAAAGCACAGGCAGCTGGGATGCTAATTCCCAATGTTTGCATCTCATCAGGGGCTCTGGGAACTGCAGGAGTGGGGATGTAGTGAAGCTTCTCTGAGTTCAGTTTGTAAGGACAGTCTCAATTCAACATCAATCAATAAATAATCTGCTTGGAAATTAAAAATAAAATTGAAACATTAATTCTAGGAAATGCAGGCATTTGTTTTAAATTACTTAAATTGACAAAACTTGAATTTCAAACTTTAACTGGTTTGCTTGAGGTTTTTTCTACAACTGACTGCATTTCCTTACTGTGAGTTTTATTCATAACCAGTTTCTGCTGTAGGATTTGTCTCTTCCCCACCACACACCACTCCCTTGTCTCTGTCACTTATTTCCTTGGGATTGTTAAGATAACCATGCAGAGATGGTTCCATGAGTTAGCAAAAAGCATTTTTCCCTCTAGAGTTAAATTCCAATAAGGTCAGTGAACTGATCTGCCCCACTGACCAAAGTGTGGGACAGTGATGGGAGAAGATGGTGCAGGGAGAAGGAAGTCAGGATTGCCCCAATTTCGTGTGGTTTTACACTGTTTTATGTGCCTATAGCATTCATCCCTTATTATTTTTCCCCTGCCATCCCCTTTCCCCAGGTGCCTACACTATTGGTCTATAGTGGCTTATTGAGTTCTTGGTTTATCTTCAGGATAAATGAAGTTATTTAATAAAGATATCCAAAATAAAGATACTCAGATAGCAGCTGCATAAGTACATATTTGAAATTTTATCTTTGCAGTGCTGGTGTGTGTTGCAATATCTGTGATATATTGTTCTTCCCTTTGCCTTATAACAGACTCCCTACTATAGAGGCAAAATTTAATAAGGCCATGTACATTAACATTATGGCATAATTTCCTGGCTGCCAGACAGGAGAGATTTTGAATGTTAAACTGTGTTTGATATGTTAATATAGGATGTAAGTGCCAAATGGGGCTCTATTAGCAACACTTGCTTAAAATATTTTCCAATTTTCCTGTTAAACTGGGATGCAGAGAAAAAGCCACTTGGTTGGAAGGGAAGGAACTGGGAGCTATTTGATATAATTTAACTGCAGCCCAGTTGGTGGAGTTGGGAGCTGTCTGTGGGAAAATCCAGCAAGCAGGAAAACACATCTTGCTAATGGCATGAGGATGAGCAGTGAGGAGTGTGTGAGAAGCAGATTTCTGCTTTCAGAGAATGGAATGTAATTGTCATCAGGCACTTTCTCATCTGTCAGAGATGTTTAGAAATAGATGGGCTCCACTAGCACACTATTCCACCTCACCTCCTGAATTTCCAGATATAGAACCAGACAGGAGTGTGGACATGGGCAGGTCAGGCTCTGGTCCCAGAGAACAAGGAATAGGATGAGAGAGAATGGCCTCAAGTTGTGCCAGGGGAGGCTCAGGTTGGGCATCAGGAGGAATTTCTTCCTGAAAAGGGTGGTCAGGCATTGAAAGGGCATGCCCAGGGAGGCTTAGAATCCCCACCCTGGAGGTGTCCAAGGAAGGCACGGATGTGGCACTCACTGGTCTGGGCTGGTGACAAGGTTGGCATCAGGCAGAGCTTGGACTTCATGATCCTGGTCATTTTTCCAAACCTAATAATCCTGGGATTCTGAAGCTCCGTATTTTCTTTTAATGCAAAGTGCCCAATGGGAACTGCAAAAGAGATAGGAAAATTGAGAAACCCTATAGCTGCATAGATCAACATCTCTAGAAAGAAATTCCACCTCTTCCAGGGACTCTCATTTTGACTCAGGGCAAATTGCTTCTCTATTTCCTCTTATAGCATCTACTTTGTTTCTACAGCAGCTTTAAACCCTTTCGGTTAGGTACCTCATATTGTGGATACTTGCCACAGCAGAGATGGAGGCAACACAATACTTGGTGTTCATTCAGCAATAGCCAGGCTTTATTGAGTGCTGTTCTCATGTAGTTTTGAAAGTCCTTGCAGTTAGTCCTGGCTGGCTGAATTAGTTGCCACCTGGCTAAGTGGTCAGTAGCTGCCAGTGTCCCCAGTGATCATCCAAGATGGACAGGATGAAAAACACAGCACAATGTGTGGAACAATCACAGTAACACAAATAAAAAGGTGGAATGAGGCTCTTTACCTAACTCACAAGACAAATTCAGCCTAACCACTCATTGTCTAAATTTTTATTTTTTTTTAAGCATGTCTGGAAGCCATCAAGCACAGCTTTACAGGTGGTATGCCACACACTATTCACATATATAGCCCAATTACACAAACCAAGAAAATTGCATTGAAAATTGCATTTAACTTACTTACAAAAATCTAATTTATTTGTAAACTGCTAAACTATCATGGGCAACAGATTGCTCTTTTGCTTCCACTAAAAAGTACACATCCATGTGCTTAGTCCTTTCTCCAAAGTGTCTGTCTCTTGAGACTAAGTGAAGCTACAGGTGGAGGTAGACTGCCATTCCACAGATCCCATATCTGCATACAGTGGTGCAAAGTGCTGTTCTGATTACTGCTCCACAATGTCTGCCAGGGCTGTCAGGGAGGCATTGTTGGATGTGATTCTGGGCAGGGCATAGAGCAGGAAGCACACACCAAGCAGGCACCCATTGTTTGCCTACATCTGTGGAAATGCAGGCATACCCACACCCCCAAATAACAAGGTCCCAGGGACCTTCCTGTTTCTTTGTAAGGAGGTCTTTTACCAATACTTTAGGCTTGGGTGACTGAATGTCACTAGAAGATTGCAACAAAAGGAAATAATTTAAAATAACAGGATTCTGAGAATTTGTGAGTACTGCCAGACGGTTTAAAGTGTATAGTGCTTTGGTCACCCTACTTTGCAAGGTATCACCACACATTCCCTCCTTTTGTTTTTCAAGCATGTGCTTTAAAGTGCCATGGTCATGCTCAGAATGAGGAACACCTGTGTGGTGAAACACACCCCAGAGTTGTAAAAAATGCCAAGTACTCTGTGAAATGCATGCTGGACCATTATTGGTTTTTATTGTATGGGGAGTGCCTAGAGCGGCATATGCCATATGTCATATGCCATGCCTGAGGCCCACATGGCCGATGAAAAGGTGTCCACTGAAACATGCATACACTATAAGCATCCAAATTCCAAGAGATGTGTGACACCTGTCTGCCAGACTTGCAAGGCTCAAAGACCACAGGAGTTAACCCCCATCTGCAGTGGTGTTGTGTGGCCTTGACAGTCAGCACAAGAGTTAACAATGTTACGTGTCTCTGTGTTTGTCAGTAAGAATTGCCTTTGTAATGCTCTAACATCTTGATGAAAATAGGTGTGGGATGCTCTTGCCTGTATCAGCATGTCTGGCTGTGGTGCTGTCCAGGCAGGGCTAGCTAATCAATCAGCCTGAGCATTACCCTCTGCTGTAAAACCTGGCAAACTGGTATGACTCCAAATATGTACAATATAATAAGGCCGTGTTCTGGCTTTGAGTGTATGCCACAAGCCTTTTAACAGTTCAAATAGTGCAACATTGGCAATTTCTTTCAGTAATGTTTGGTCCAATCTCTGTGTAATATCTGCAGCATAGGCAGAATCAGTCACAATATTTAAGGGAGTGTGAGGAAATCATTGGAAAGCCATAGTTACAGCATGCAACTCCAGTAATTGAGATGATTCATTATTGTGACCTTTGAGTGTTTTCTTCCAGGTCACAATGGCTTTACCTGTTTTCCCTGACCCATCAGTAAAGACAGTGAGACCTTTCAGGGGTGTGCAATGGCTCAGTGGTCTCAGCAACAATGCAGTGGTCCCACTTAATTGCAGCAGTTTATGACTACGTAGGTGGTAGGTGATGTGTCCTGTATAATTTGGTAAAACACTTTGTAGTGCTGTTCTACTTGAAAATCACCATTCAAAATATTCCTCTGGAACAGGTACAATGATTTTTGCAGGACCTTTGGCATTTAACTGTAAGCATCTTTGGCAATATTTGATAATTACTGTACAATCAATTCAAATATGGAAGCTGCTGTCTTTTTAGGTTGGTGAGGTAAAAAACCCCATTCCAGAATCTGCAGTGAGTCGGACCACTGAGTATCCCTTTGACCAATGATGCCCGTGGAATGTAGGTCAACAATAACAACAAATACTGTAACACAAACCTTCGGACATATCGGATACACTTGCCCATTTTTATGGCCTGCTCTACTAATTCAAGTGTGGTTTTTGCCTCTGGTGTTAATCTCCTTGAGGAGGTTAACTCAGGGTTAAGGGTTAACTTTAAGGATGTTAAATAATGGTGCCAATTGTAGAGTGGTTAACCCTAAATAAGGTCTTACCCAGTTAATGATACCCAAAAGCTGTTGTGCATCATTTAAAGTCTGAATTTTGATTGAGAATTTAATTGTGGTTGTATGGTCTGATCTAATATTTTAACTCCCAGGTATTTCCATGGTGGTTGTTGTTGTAGCTTTTCTGGTGCAATTTGTAAGGCAAATTCTTGCAGCGCTCACATCAGTTCTGGCTGAATTTGTAAAAGGCCTTCTTTGGTTGGTGTTGCTCTTAAGATCTCATCCATATAGTGATCACAATATGCCTCTGGAAATTGTTCTCTCACTATTGAGAGTACCTGTGCAACATACCACTGGCAAATTGTGGAGCTATTTTTCATTCCATGTGGCTGCACTTTCCATAAATATCATTTGACTGATGCTGTATGATTGATGGAAGGCTCTGTAAAAGCAAACTTTAGGGTATCATCTGGATACCCTGCAAGGGAATAGTGAAAAAACAATCTTTTAAAACAACAATTAAAATGTCCCAATTGTCAGCCAGGGATGAGGGGCTCTGGGACGGGGCAGGTCCAGCTCTCATCCACAGCACCCCCAAGTCCTTCTCCCAGGGCTGCTCCATCTGCTCAGCCCCCACCTGGACTGATCACAGGGATTGTCCTGACCCAGGCACAGCCCTTGTTAAACCTCTTGAGATTCCCATGGACCACTTCTGGAACTTGTTTAGGTCCCCCTGGATGTCATCCCATCCTTCAGGGTTTTCACTGCACTCTTAGCTTGGTGTCACCTTCAAACCTGAGGGTGCCCTCCATCGTCTGTGTCATTAATGCAGATATTAAATAAAAATGTATTTATACTTTGTATGTCTGCATGTTTAAAGCTAAAATCTACCTGTATGATAAAGGAATGTCACGATCCTGACACAGCCTCTCCTCAGGAGGATTAACATCCAGGATCTCAGCCTGTGCATGGGGTTGACACTGAGCTACAGCCAGCTGGAGGTTTGTCTTTGTCAATCACATGTGACATTTAAAGAAATTTCTTGCCTTCATAGGTTCCCATCTTTGATTATATGAGAAGCAGAGCACAGGATGCTGTCAAAAATCAAAAAAGCACCTGAATTTCCCTTCTCAGTAATTCCCTTTCTGGACTGGGAATTGTTTAGAGATAGCCTGAAAATGAAGGAAAACTAAATTGGTTCCTGTCTTAGTTACAGTAAGAATATAATGACACTCTAATGGTGTCAAAATTGGTGAATTAAAATCAGGGAGAAAACTTTGAGTTGATTTTTTCTCTAAAGGGTTTTCTAAGGATCTCTTCAGGTTCTAGCTGCAATTTGAGGAAACACTTTTCAATCACTAGTCCTTGCCTGAGATTTAAAGCAAATAAGAGCACCAACAATTGCAAAGGGCAGTTAAATCTGCACTTTATTTTGGAAATACGTTGGGGATTTGCAGCTCCAGAGTCCTCAGCAATGGAACAACTCTCAGAGGACTTGGAATAATTCCTCCCTGCAGGTCACACATGATTTCTGACTGTGTAACTCCCAAAATAATCTATTAAAATAATGACTGCTTTGTAATTTTTTAAATTTTCTTGGGGGCAGCCACTGGATTGTCTTACAAATAATTTAATGTGTGGGAGTTGCAGCAAAACCCTGTCACTTCTCTTTTTATTGTTGAAACTCATCACAAATCATTAAATTGAAACCAGGCAACCGAGGAAAAAAATGAGTTTTGACAAAATTAGAGCCATTCTGAAAAAACAAAAAACCCTGGCACTTCTGTACAGTGGCACAAACTTTGAAAACTTTTGGGGTTTTCTTTTTCTTTCACTATCTAATTTCTAAAATTTTCAGTCTGGGATTTGATTAATTTAGACTACACAGCCCCAAGATGTTGAAGCAATGATGATTTCAGTTTGGGAAGGAGAGTTGGAAGTCTAACTTTCATGCTCAGTCCTGGCCCATATGAGTAGGGATCGTGGCAATGTCTGCAAAGAGCATTAAAACACTCCAATCCTGACCTAAAATGCCTTGGTTACTTTTTTCACTCCAGCTGGAACTGCACATCTTGGTCAAAACACACAAAAAAATGGTCTAAGCCGTGAATCAAGATGAGAGATAAACAAAATGGATAATTCCAAAAGAAAACTATTCAGAGTAATGGACAAGAAAGAAAATTATTAGACTAAAAGAGGGACATGTGTGTTAAACCTCTCTCTATTCAAGCATTGCTAAAACAGTTCCTTGTGTTGGTCAAGTAAAATACTTATGATAAACTATTGGATATTACACCTGGATAAACTATTGGATATTACACCTCTCTGACTTATGTCACCTCAGCTTTAGGAAATTAAGTAAATTACCTTGACTTCAATGAAGTATTGGACATAATGTCACGTTCCCAAA